ACCCATGTATTGGATAAGTAATTTAGATCGGGTATGGTTTGGTCTTAGAAAATATTAAAAAGAAATAAATTAAAATTAAAATTAAAATCGAGATTTATGAGGTGGAATTTAGGGAGGCTTAAAAATTTCTTACGTAAGCTTAAAAACAGAAAAAATAATAATATAAAAATGAGTTTTAAGGAGGAAGGGGTCGAGACCCGTACTATCTTGAAATCAGTTAGTCTTGATCGATTCCCATCCAAATTGACAATTTGAATCAGAAATCACAGATTTAAAACCCGTTGCATCTATGTGCCTATACATAAACGCTAACAACAAAGATCAATCCTAAATTTGGCGCTACATGCGCTATTTTAACCGTTGGTAAAATACGACATGGACCTACAATGGACGGTGGAGATCAGGGAAGAAGAAAAATGAATGGTTCACGTTACATGGGCATTTTTTAGGAGAAGATAATCATGTTAAAAGAAAAATGGTGAGAACTTTGTCAAAATAGATTTATATTTTTAAAATTAATTTAATAATTTATCATTTTTCAAATATTCCGACTTATGCCACACGCGGTTAGATGGGTATTTTGAAATTAAATGAAAAATATGAATCATCATTGTTGAAGTCTTTTTTCAACTAATTGATGTCAGCTACATAAATCTTGATCCGTTATTTTGTACTATTAAAGGTCATACCTTCAGTATGGCTATGAATCCCTATATATTTTCTCACTATTTCCAATCTATTTCTTTTTGGGCTTGCTTTTTGTTATTTTTTAGCCTTCCACCTGAACTACTTTACACCTCCTAACAGGTGTTGTAAAAGGCATACGCTCTATATGGCTAGCCCACTAAATCTACTTTCTCTCATCGTATCATATATTAGTGTCGTACCTAAATTTTTCAAATTAAAAAAATTGATAAAATATTAAATAGTTGATCCATTACTCATATTTTGATAAATCCTCCAAAAACAAAAAAAAACTGAATACATAAATAAATTCCCATTATCATGTCTCCCTCTCATCCCATGAAATTTCCTTGGTACTACCAAAACAAATTCCTTTAACCAAAAGAACCCATTAAAAAGACTTGCCTACTCAAGCTAATGCATTGTTCCTTTGCTTTGAATGTTCAGCATTTGAGTACCAATATTCAGCTTTGCTGGTCAGAATGTTCGAGGCAACCACCATGTGTGCACTTGGGTCTTCCATATAATTATATATTTTATATATATTAATTTTTTTGTTTTGTAATGTTGAAATGGTTTTGCATTAAACTATCACAAAAAAAAAGTGCCCACTAGCTTAGTTTTAATGTGGGCTTGCACCCATTTTGAGAAAAGATAAAGTGGGTATGTAACTCTCTAACAAAGATTCGACAGTGAAAGGGGTTAGTTGAGCAGGGCCGTGGAGCTTCTTTTTAAAAAAAAAAAAAAAAAATGCAATGGCAGTATAATAATTTAGGTAGACCAGGTTCAAACTTAGAGCCACAGGTATTCGTCATTATTTATATTACATGTGGAGTAGAACCGGGTATTCAGTATATAAGGGGTCAGAACAATTTTAGTAAACGTCAGAGTAGTGGGAAAATGCTTCCAAATTTTCATTGACCTCTTTGTACGCTCTAACTTTCTACGAAAAGGAGCTCTTTTCCAACGTGATTCTCGTCTTTGCTTGAAGGCAGAATTACCATTCTGCCACCAACTTCACATTTTATTTGCGTGGTACCATTCGGTCATCACCACAGCCTTTATTCAATTACTTGGGCCATCTACACAAATCTTGATACGCCGAAGACTATATTTTTAACGAGGTTATAAGTCTTCATATATTTTGTTAAAATATATTTTCAATTTTAAATTCTATATCATGTAGAATACATTCCCAACGTCCCAACCGTCTTGTATCTAACTAAATACAGCAAGAATTATATACATCGGTAACCGAGTTGAATCTAGTTATCAGTTGACACTAATCATAAGCCATGGTTTGATTGACTTCAAGTAGGGTTGTTAACGGGCCGAGTTCAAGTTGGGCTGACCTTGGCCTGAGCTTTCGACCATATTTCATGAACATGAACGCCATGTCTACACAAAATTACGGACCGTAGAGATACATCAAGGCCCCACATATATGGGCATGTTTGAGTGTATTCATTAGTGGTGAGAATTCATAATTTCAATAAAAGTAATATTGATTGTGATTTATCGTGTTTGGAAGTGGTTATTATAAAATTATGTGAGATCAATTTATATACAATCTTACATATAATTTATCCTTTGTGAGAAATTGTTCTTACTTCATTTAAAATAATTTGCCTAAATTACATCCTTTTAGTCAAGAAACTTAAAATAGCTGAAATCACTGAGAAGGTTGAATAATTAAATAACATTATATATAACACAAGGTACATAGCAAATAGGTAGCAAAATCATGTTATCCATATTATATTAATTTCAGATAACCAGATTATATTAATTTCCGATAAAATAATCTATTTTAGATAAATTGAATTGCCATCCAAACCATGCCGGCTCACTTATTGAAAAACATCAAAAAAAAGTACTCTAACGTGACATAGAAATAAATGGATTTCTCTAATACCAAAATTAAAGCACTCCTCAAATAAAAGAAGGGAGAGAGAGAGAGACAGAGAGAGAGAGAGGGTGGTCCCTCTAGTTTGGACGGGTAAATGCATCAAATCAAAGTGGGAAAAAGGGAACACGGGCCCGTTTTTATAGGAAAGTCACCTACTAGCACACTTTAAGAAGAATATTAACTAGAACCTTATTTACAAGTCTTTAGGCATTTCACTCCTTAAAAAGTTTTAGGAAAAATATATAAAATAGTATTCATTTTTGGTATAAAAAGGTTATAAACACTCTTGAAATGGAATGGGTGTAAGAATGCCATTGATTGGATTAAAAAATTTTAAAAAAATTTCTTGAATTTCATGACACACTTGAAACCATCCAATCTAATTTGACATCCAACTACTAGAAATAATTATAATCTCCTTTAACAAAGATAAACAGCCTCGTAATATACAATTCCAAAGTTTTAAAATGCATATACCTCTTATTCTTAGTGTGATTCCTTGATGATGGGTCATTACAACGACAAAGTCGATGTTCACACTTCTGGTATAGAAAAATAACCAAAAAAAAACCCAAAGGTTTTGTAAAATGTCAAACACATCCCAATATCTACGTGACCTTTATGAAAAATGTCAAAAATGATTTAATATTTTGAAGCATTTCACTTTTATTGTTTTAAAAATCACTACTTTAATTAGGAATCACAAAAAGGTAGGGTTCATTTTTCTATTAGATCGAAAACCTCATGTTTAATTTCAAACAAATACATTTTATGCTATTCTTTTTCTCTCTTTTTTATTTTTTATTTATTTATTTTTTTTTATTTTCATATTTTTCTCTAGAATACCGGTCGGCCGGGCGAGAGGTCGACCCACCCGGACAATCCAAGTTTTAGAACACTAATTTCACGAGAACAAAATGTTTAGCGTTTGCATATATTTTCTTCTCCTTTGCTGTATTTGATAAGGACTGGTATGGCATACTCCATAAAAGCTAGTAAGCATTTAAAGAAAGTTAAGGGTATGATAGTCATTTCAGAGGACTCAAATTGCATGCATTATGCAGAGAATAAAAGAACCCCGCTAAATCCTTGAGGCTCTCTTGATGCCCTTTCTCGTCGTATCAGCCAGGCCTCCCAACTTAAATCACCCTACTCTTTTGACTAAATGGCCAAATCATCTTGTCCATTTATTTATGGCGCAGTTTGTATGGAGCTGAAACTCTACATAATCAAATGAGAGCCCACATTCAAATAGTATCGAGAAATATGGTTTCAATACTTTGAAAGATTTTTTGATAGCCTTAAATTAGATTTTCATCTTTATTTATAAAATTTAAAGCTTTAAAAATAATGTAGATTAAGCAGATCTATAAAAACTTGAAAATTGACGGTGCAAGAATATGTTACAAGATGCACACTTTCTAAAATTTAAAATCCATTTTTTTTCTCATGTCTATACATCTTGATGTCGAGATGATCAATTTGATGATATTTGGGGATCAAAACAACCTCTTATATTGAAAGTTTTGAGGTAGGTTCTAATTTAATTGTTTAGAGCCTAGGCTCTATATAAACTTTTCTTTTTATAAAATGGTGTAGTTTGCCTTTTTATTTTGCAAAATTACCAGCATGCACCTAAGAATTGAGTATTCTGTCGTGCTTTCATAGTCCCAATCAACGGTTCGAATTCGATATGGTGCATCGTAATATAGATTCAGGCCGTCCAAGTTAGAATCTCACTCGTTGATAGTGGGAATTGTGGAAAAGTCCCGTAGTTATGTGCCAGTTTGGATACATGATTTAAAATTATTCTTTGTCAATTAACCAAGAGAACAAAACACCATGATGTATTATTCATAGATCAAAAGGCTAGTGTCGAAATGAAGTGTAGAAGGAAATGAAATATACAATACTATACATTAGAAAGAAAATCATATTAAAAAGGTATTGATGTATATTATCACTTCAGAGGGACGTTTCAGGATTGGGTTCGATTGGTTAAGGCGTTGACGATTCGACTGCTATGTCATAAGTTCAAATCCTATCATTAGCTACCCAAAAAAAAAAAAAAAGTGTATAGCATGATGCCATAGATTATCGATAAATAATAGTTACATCATCACCGTCCGATCAATTGATATACACCGATATAAAGAACTACATGTAGTTTCTCTATTTATACTAAATGGGGTTTCGAAATGTAGGGGAGTATTTTTTAGCCGTTCATTTCCATGGGACATTGGTGTAAATACTAATATAGTAACGGGTATAACAGTCATTGTTAAGAGCAATCGCCTAGGGGCATTTTCTTGGAAAAACTAAACAAGTGTGTGATAGATATGAAAGTTAAGGGTATTATCGGTCATTCTCTCTCTATAAATGCCTCCTCATTTGTACGTGTGTCATTGTGTGGTGTTCGAGAGGTGTTGGTTTCAATTGTTTGTGAAAAAGCGATATGTCTCTCAGACTAGCTTTGCCTGCAGAAGCAGGCCCTGCCGCTCTCTCTTTTAAGGACTCCAATGGCAAAGCGAGCCCTCTCAAGCTCATCAAAGGTACTAGCTTTCTCTCTCCGCTGTTTAGCTTTTTAAAGATTTGGTGATTAGGAAATGTCTTTGATATATGAAACTGCATGTAGTCTTTTATTGATTTAGGCTTGAACTGTTATGGAGATTTCTTGTTTTCTTTTATAGACATTTGTTGTTATGCTTTTCCGTTGCTTCATTTTCCTGTTTTCTGATGGTAAGGACTCACTTGTGCCAATTGGGAGACATTTTTTTTTATGATTTTTTGAGATTGTTGCAGTCGTTTTTTTTGGATTATTTAACATGGAATTGATCGTTCTTCAGTGTTCCTCTGTTAGTATACAATTATAAATTATGTAACTTTATATTTGTGGTTATTTTCCAAATGATTTGATTAGAATTCTGGTTCTGGACTGTTTATCAATATTTGATGGGAAAAATGCTTATTAATTTTGCATCTTCTGTAACAGAATTGTATTTTGTGTTTAATTACTCACATTCAGCTTCCATTTTTGCTGAAAAGTTTATACTTTTATCGTTTTTATAAGTGTATTGTTTTCTCATTTTCTTTCAAGTTAAATCTGACTTTCGTTAAGTTCTGATGTTGCTTCTCCTTTGAATAATCGATCCGAAATTGTATTTCTTACAATATTTCTTCGTAAAATTCAAATTGTCCTTTTTTTTTTTTACATTATATACTGGTTGTTAAGGTTGGGGTGGAATTTATTCTTTTATGATGTTGAAATAATGCTTCTCGTGCTGCTTCCTTGATGATCTCTTATGTTGACTTGGTACCAGGTTTTGTATAATAGAGAAACTTCCATTGGTTTGCTCTCGTGAAGGAAATATACTAAAAAGTGTAATTGTTATGATCGGAGTGCCGGGGCTCGGCCAAATCCACTCAGACTTGGCTGAGGAACTTGACCTTGTCCTATGGGCCAGGCAAGTTCCTGGCGAGTTAGGTGTACAAGTCTCCAGGCCCAAATAACTTCCAAAAAACGGTTTAAAAATGCAAGCAAAAATAAAAAATAATAAAAAAAGAGAAAACACTAACATAATGGTTAGAAATACTTCTTAAGACGATTTTGTTAGTTTTTAAGACCATCTGGGAACTGTAATATTTTTCTCTTGTTCTGCATTTTTCTGAAAGATTCAACGTACAAATCCACTTTTCAATAATCCATTCAAGTTTTTCTTATTTTTAAAGACTTTTTAGAGATTTTTTTACTCTTTTTAGCTTTTTTTCACTTTTTTGGGGTGTACCTAACTCGGCCATGTCCACTCGGACTCAGAAGAGTTACTTGGCTCGGCCAAGGGCCCAATAACTTGGGCGAGTCGATTTTCTGTACACTGGTTATGATAATATTTCTTCTATATGTTCTTATTTATGGAAGAATGTTGGTTTGATGAATTTTGCTATAAATAATTTCCATTTGGGGGGATTTTTGTGATTTCTATATTCATCAATAGTTGGCATAGTCAATGGGTAATGATTTGACCATTGGGATGTTCTATGCACCTCCAAACAAAGTTATGGATAAATTTCTGTCTTTATACTCTCTCTCTCTCTCTCTCTCTCTATCTATATATATATATATATATATATATATATATTA